AAAGGAAACTGGGGGGTAATTAGGACCAACTGAAAGGCTACATTCACACAGCAGGTAATCTACAGAAAGGGTGCTGAGCTCAGATGCAGCTAAATGTAGCCTCTGGGTGTAGCAGCACTCTAGGATATGGCTGCATACAAACTGGATGATTAACTGTGGTCAAAGTTGTGCAGAAATACTGACCCTTTGTGTAGTCAGTGTGCGTCCTGGATCGGTGTTTGTACATTTTCAGTGTTGTCCTCGAAGTCTTATGAAAAGACTCTTTCCCAACTGTTCACCTTTTATAGAAAAATAATAAATGCACATCTGTTTGCAGGTAAAAAAATTGTGCATTTATGATTTTTTTTTACACTGTACGGCATTGCACATGTGATCAGCGGATTGCAGGTGTAGTGTCATGCTTCTGCACACTCTCCATCAGCTGTCTGTCCGTACCTCCCGTACAGGCAGGCAGTTACTGAGTTGCAGGAAGAATCAATGAATTAGGAGGGCACTCACCAGTGCCCTCCTAGTTCATTGAGAACTACAAGCTGTTAGCCGCCATGGTGGACAGTACTGTGACAGCACCCAGATATTGCAGAGTTCCCCTTTAAATTTTAACATTTCTAACAGTATCTGCTTGCAAAGCAAAGTTTTCAGCTCACTTTCCCCCTCTCATTTCCTGTAAAGTAATGTGTACCAGTCTGTAGCTAGCACCCTTATCTGTAGCTAAAATGCAAGGCTATATTCTGCAGAGTTTAGAAAGTCTTTTCAATGTGTAGAAAGTGAAAGAGGAAAAATATGAATTGTGAGTAATCATTGGTATACACGCTTGTAAGAAGTGGATACAACTCTCTCGGCTTTGCAGGCATGAGCTCGGCTGGGTTAAACAGCGCTGTTTTTAATAATTCACTTGTTTTCCTCAAGGTCCGTGTCCGGAGTTTCCTGGACTCCCAAAATTGCTACTACAGTATTTGTTCTTCATTCATTCACAAAACTCTGTGAATGAATGATGCTGTTTGGACAGATTCGCACACTGTTTTTAAATTCTGACAGCTGGTGCGGGGAGAGGATTCCCTGACCATTGTCACAGGGAGGGAGAATCGTGGGGGGGAAGGCTTGTTACATGTTCCACCCAGGGGCGGACTGACAACTCATGGGGCCCCCGGGCAATAGGGGATCATGGGGCCTCTGTGTCCTTGCCCAAACTCAAAAAAGCCTATGAAAAAGGTACCAGGGGCATCTCATGGGGCCCCCTACTGACCCCGGGCCCTCGGACAGTGCCCGAGTTTCCAAATGGTCAGTTCCACCCTAAATATGAAGGAACATATACAGTAACATGTTCCAAAAGCAAACTTATCCTTTAAGCTGCTTAACTGGAGTCCAGCTGTGGTTTTGATAAAAACATGGATGCTACTTTTCTCCTGTTAAAAATGTTAGTTACCTAAATGCCATGCTGACCATCATGCAGCAGTGATCTGGAACATTGATGCAGATAAGAACTTCTGACTTTTCTTTTAAAATATTTTTCTTAAAAGAAATTTTTTACAAGAGAACAGATAACAAATCATAAACTGGCGATAACAATGAATCAGGCCATCCACAGAGCATTCGATTAGGCCTTGCATGAACAAAAAACGAAGAACTGGTCTAAAGATAAGGTCCCACCCCCCAAAAAAAATTATGTATTCCGCTGAGAGAACCAAGGACTTCCAACTTTTCTCTGTATTTCCTGATTTACATACCTTTTTCCAGGGCAATGACTCAGAACATACTGAAACCAAAGGACCAATTTCAGATCCAGGCAGCCATCATTTTCATACTGAGTCCAACAAAGGCATCCTGTATTTATAGCATACTTGTAGTTGCCACTTTAGTATTTTTCGGTTTCCATATTCCCAAAAGCCCGTATTTATTAAAAAAAAAAAGATTGTTCTCTTTTAAACACATCGCTTCAAAATGCAATGTTTTTTTACTTTTTTTTGCTTTTTTGCCATCATTGTTATATATAGCCCCATTTGTGATGAAGGTGACAATATGCAGATGCGGAGCAGTGACTCACATACTATCTCTTGAGATCTCCCGGAAACCTTTTCTATGCCTTTGAACCTCAGTCTAAGCAGGAAATTCTAGGTGTGAAAGCAGCTTTGATAATCATTTTCTAACAATAAACTACACTTTCCATACCTATTTCTATATAGAATTAGAATTATGACAAACAGCATTAGAAGAAAAACCCTTACTATGTTAAGACCTAGCATCAGATTCTTCTTTTATATTAGAGCCCAAATCTATCATCTATCTTTTAAAGGGAAAAATGTGTGTGTGTATACACTGCTCCAAAAAATTAAAGGAACACTTTTTAATCAGAGTATAGCATCAAATCAATTAAACTCCTGGGATATCGATCTGGTCAGTTAAGTAGCAGAGGGGGTTGCTAATCAGTTTCAGCTGCTTTGGTGTTAATTAAATTAACAACAGGTGCACTAGATAGGCAACAATGAGACAACCCCCAAAACAGGAATGGTTTTACAGGTTGAGGCCACTGACATTTTTTTCCCTACTCCTCTTTTCTGACTGTTTATCACTAGTTTTGGCTTTTTGCCAGGGTCAGTGTCACTACTGGTAGCATGAGGCGATACCTGGAACCTACAGAGGTTGCACAGGCAGTCCAAGTCTTTCAGGATGGCACGTCAATACGTGCCATTGCCAGAAGGTTTGCTGTGTCTCCTAGCAAAGTTTCAAGAGCATGGAGGAGATTCCAGGAGGCAGGCAGTTACTCTAGGAAAGCTGGACAGAACTGTAGAAGGTCCTTAACCCATCAGCAGGACTGGTATCTGCTACTTTGTGCAAGGAGGAACAGGATGAGCACTGCCGGAGCCCTACAAATCTACAAACCCTACAAACCTCCAGCAGGTCACTGGTGTGAATGTCTCTGACCAACCAATCAGAAACAGACTTCATGAGGGTAGCCTGAGGGTCTGACGTCTTCTAGTGAGCCCTGTGCTCACTGCCCGGCACCATAGAGCTCGACTGGCATTTGCCATTGAACACCGGAATTGGCAGGTCCGCCACTGGTGCTCTGTGTTGAGAGCAGGTTCACCCTGAGCACATGTGACAGACGTGAAAGGGTCTGGAGAAGCCGTGGAGAACGTTATGCTGCCTGTAACATCGTTCATCATGACCATTTTGGTGGTGGGCCAGTGGTGGTCTGGAGAGGCATATCCATGGAGGGACGCACAGAACTCTTCAGGCTAGACAATGGCACCCTGACTGCCATTAGGTATTGGGATGAAATCAGACCCTACACTGGTGCAGTGGGTCCTGGATTCCTCCTGGTGCACAGCAATGCCCGGCCTCATGTGGCAAGAGTATTCAGTCAGTTCCTGGAGGATGAAGGAATTGATACCATTGAATAGCTCCCACACACGCCTGACCTAAATCCAATAGAACACTTCTGGGATATCATCGCGCAGGTTGCACCTCAGACAGTCCAGGAGCTCAGTGATGCCCTGGTCCGGATATGGGTAGAAAAACCCCAGGACACCATCCGTCGTCCTATTAGGAGCATGCCCCGATGTTGTCAGGCATGCACACAAGCACGTGGGTACCATTTTGAGTTGATATAATGAAATTTTAGCAAAATGGACTAGCCTGCTGCATCATTTATTTTCCTCTGCCATGCTAACTCCTGTACATTGCCACATAAACTGTCCCCTGCCCCCCTTGACATTTTTCACTTCACCCTCAAATCAAACAGGCTAGATCTGGCCCTGCAGCAAAGCCTTTTTTAGAATACGTTCTCCACCTGCCTGATCTTGTTATTACAGAGCAGGGGCGGACTGACCATTTGGAAACTCGGGCACTACCCGAGGGCCCGGGGTCAGTAGGGGGCCCCATGAGATGCCCCTGGTACCTTTTTCATAGGCTTTTTTGAGTTTGGGCAAGGACACAGGGGCACCATGATCCCCTATTGCCCGGGGGCCCCATGAGTTACCAGTCCGCCCCTGTTACAGAGTATATTATGCCCTGAAGAAGGGGCAGAGTTTGGCACCTAGAACACATTGTATTTTTTTTTTCTTGATCATCAACACTTTTGCTTTGCAGCACTGGTGTCTTTTGTTCATGGAGTTTGCATGTTCTCCCTTTGCTTGTGTGGGTTTCCTATGGATACTCGAGTTTCCTCCCATGCACCAAAGGCATCTTGGTAGGAAAATTTGCTCCTATTTTTTTTTTTTATTTTTATTATTATTATTATTATTATTATTATAGCATTAAGCATACAAATATTACAGTTGCCTTTAAACATCCAAAACAGAAATAGATAACATTAGTTCCATTGCCTCTGAGACAAAAGGTCATGCCTCACGTAATATTGCTAAAACTCAGTGGAGTATTGGAATTGCTCCCAATGAAACCATCTGGACCTGTGTTCTTCCAACTCATTCATAATGGCAGAAGTGAGGGTCTCCATGGTCTGCATATTGTTTATTCTTCTACTTGGCAAACCATTGGCTCAATCTGGGTGGCTTGTTTTGTTTCAGCTTGCTCCTGTTTAAATTGGCCCTAGTCTATGCATGTGAGATAGCATTCTTAGCTTGTAAGCTCCTTGGGGGCAGGGACTGATGTGAATGCAAAATATACTGTAAACACTGCGTAAATTGTTGGCCATATATATACCTTATCCTCTTCTCCACCTGTGGATTTTTTTCCAAGATGTCTTAGTAGGCTATCTTGAATCTAAGTCTAGCTAATCCAGAAGACGTGCCCCTGAAGACGTGCATGCGCACGAAGCGCGTTGGGTGAAGCCTTACATGCTGACGTCATGCCGCCGCGACCGGAGTTTGGAGCTGCGGTCATTTTGGTATGCTTTTATGCATTTAACTCTTTGCTGTATCCACGTGGATTGCTTTTAACTATTTACAATAAATACTACACTATATTGCCATACCTTTGGCTCCTGTGGTGAGCTTCTCCCCCTAGGAGGATCCTTTGCTGGTTTTGCATAGCCCTGACCCTGGAGAAGTTTGGTCCCTATTTATGGCTTCCTGAGACCCCCCATAAGGATCAGCATTAACGCTATTATACAAGTAGCGTTCTGGTGAGTGCACATCAGGTGGTGGATTCCTATGTTGGATCATGAGCATCCCAGCTGGTATTGCTGCACCTTGTAGTTCAACAAACACCGGGCATTGCTGTGACCTGTAGTGCCAAGGACTATGTATAATCGCCATTATTGCTAAATAAGCACACATATATCACTTAGCACTTCTTTGACCTGCAGTGCCACGGACTATCCACTATTTATATTCAGAATTTTAGAGGTTTTTTATGATTCTATGTGATCTAAGACGTTTTATTTGATTTATTTCACTGGAATATTGCATGAACACTTCTACTCTAAGCACTGATGATTGCATTTGTCACTTACGCTTTAGCGCTGCACTTACATTTGAGTTGATTTCTGTGGGTTTGTTACCTTGCCTTTTTTGCTAGCGGCTACCATATTATCTGCGCTCGCCTCATATCTTGTGTTAAAAATCCAGAATTATTGTATTCTCCCATTGACTTGACTCCACGGATTTTTGCCCAAACGTCCCTAAATATTAAAGCGATGATAAGGATAACCATAGAGCAAAGGTGTCAAACTGGCGGCCCCCCAGCTGTTGCCAAACTACAAGTCCCATGAGGCTTTGCAAGATTGACAGTTACAAGCATGACTCCCAAAGGCAGAGGCATGATGGGACTTGTAGTTTCGCAACAGCTGGAGGGCCGCCAGTTTGACACCCCTGCCATAGAGCATGCACTATCAGAAACAATTCAGGCATGGCATATTTTTATTGTGACAGGTTTCTTTTAAACGCTCTGATTCTCAGAAGCGACGATATGACAGTAACATTGTGAGCAATGCTGGATGTTGATGGCTAATCCTCTGTGTTTTGACCCCTCAGCTGGATGCGTTCCTCACCTCTGCTCCCGCTGCTCTGCCTGTGCACCCTCTGTCATCTACAGGTAAGGTCACCCTGCACTCAGACAGGTACCTACCACCCTGACATTGCACTGATGTCTCTGGGGTTCTTCACAATAATAGCTCCAATTATTAGACGCAGGGGAGACTGACATTTGGAATTTTTCTTTATTGATGCCAGGGCCGGATCTAGCTTGTCTGATTTGGGGGTGCAGTGAAAAACATCAGGGGGGCAGAGGATGCGAGGTCACCAGGGCAGTGTGTAAGAGTCCAAATAACAGTGTACAGGGGTCAGCAGGGCAGAGGATAGGGTCAGCAGTTTGTAGGGCAGTGTACAGAGGCCATTAGTTTGTAGGGCAGTGTACAGAGGCCATTAGTTTGTAGGGCAGTGTACAGAGGCCATTAGTTTGTAGGGCAGTGTACGGAGGCTATTAGTTTGTAGGGCAGTGTACAGAGGCCATTAGTTTGTAGAGCAGTGTAGAGAGGCATTAGTTTGTAGGGCAGTGTACGGAGGCCATTAGTTTGTAGGGCAGTGTACGGAGGCCATTAGTTTGTAGGGCAGTGTACAGGGCCATTAGTTTGTAGGGCAGTGTACGGAGGCCATTAGTTTGTAGGGCAGGTAGGGCCATTAGTTTGTAGGCAGTGTACGGAGGCCATTAGTTTGTATGGCAGTGTACAGAGGCATTAGTTTGTAGGGCAGTGTACAGAGGCCATTAGTTTGTAGGGCAGTGTACGGAGGCCATTAGTTTGTAGGGCAGTGTACCATTAGTTTGTAGGCAGTGTACGGAGGCCATTAGTTTGTAGGGCAGTGTACGGAGGCCATTAGTTTGTAGGGCAGTGTACGGAGGCCATTAGTTTGAAGGGCAGTGTACGGAGGCCATTAGTTTGAAGGGCAGTGTACGGAGGCCATTAGTTTGTATGGCAGTGCAGGGCCATTAGTTTGTAGGGCAGTGCACGGAGGCCATTAGTTTGAAGGGCAGTGCACGGAGGCCATTAGTTTGAAGGGCAGTGTACGGAGGCCATTAGTTTGTAGGGGAGTGTACGGAGGCTATTAGTTTGTAGGGCAGTGTATGGAGGCCATTAGTTAGTAGGGCAGTGTACGGAGGCCATTAGTTTGTAGGGCAAGCCATGTAGGGCAGTGTACGGAGGCCATTAGTTTGTAGGGCAGTGTACAGAGGCCATTAGTTTGTAGGGCAGTGTACAGAGGCCATTAGTTTGTAGGGCAGTGTACAGAGGCCATTAGTTTGTAGGGCAGTGTACATAGGTCATTAGTTTGAAGGGCAGTGTGCAGAGGTCATTAGTTTGTGTGCAGGGCAGTTTGTACACACTGGGTTATCTAGGGGCTAGCATGGCAGAGGACAGGGGTCAACAGGACAGAGGACAGGAGTTAGCATGGTGGAAGACAGTGGTCAGCAGAGTTGAGGACAGGGTCACTGCTAGTAGGGCACTTAAAGTGGAGGAGTTCCAGCCGTTTTTGTGTTTATTAAAAGTCAGCAGCTACAAAAACTGTATCTGCTGACTTTTAATAAACACACACTTACCTGTCCCAGAGTCCAGCGATGGAGGATGTCACCAGCACACCGAAGATCACCAATATGGGTCCAAAAGTTTTAATAAACGGTCACATGCCTGATGAAGGGGTCCTGCGAGACTCCGAAACGTTGCCTTGCTGTAACTATGTGATAGTTTATGAAAACTTTTGGACCCATATTGGTGATCCTCGGTGTGCTGCTGACATTCTCCCTTGCTGATTCTGTTCGGTTCCAGCCGATGGTCGCTGCAGCACCCACTTGTACACACAGCCATTTTTAACGCAGGAACGTGTGCGTTTGGATTGTACACTTAGAGTCCAGCGATGTTCTCACCCGCGCACCATCCCTTCTCTCTGACACAGCGCTGGCATCTCAACTGTGAGCACCAGGCTGTAGGACGCAGGAGGGAGATCACAGAGAAGCCCGTATCTCCTCCCCGCTCTCTCCTCTCCGCCGCTGTCACTTCTCCTGCCTGGACTGTATACTTCAGTTCACTGCGGTCGGCTCTGAGTGCAGGGATGGTGGTTGGGAAGCTCAGTGGTCATAGGTGCAATGAGCATGGGGGGAGGGGGCACACCTAGCTTGGGGGGGGGCACAACTGAAATCTGGGGGGGGGGGGCACAGCCCACCCCAGCACCCCTTAGATCCGGCCATGATTGATGTTTGTTTAATCAGTGATCTGCTCCAGAGTCTGTCATTTTTTTATTTTTTCTGTAGCTACAGTGGTCTACCAAGGGGTGGACTGACCATTTGGAAACTCGGGCACTGCCCAAGGACCCGGGGTCAGTAGGGGCCCCATGAGATGCCCCTGGTACCTTTTTCATAGGCTTTTTTGAGTATGGGCAAGGACACAGGGGCCCCATGATCCCCTATTGCCCGGGGCCCCCATGAGTTGTCAGTTGGCCCGGGGTCTACCCCACCATACACATTCTCATACAAACCATACAATGTATTTTTTTTCTTAACGATTCCGTGATGCACGCTTTACTTAAACATCAGTATTGTTTTTTTTTTTGTTCAACCATTGTCAGAAAAATAACCCCACAGATTTCGCAGCTGAGCTCAAACTACTGACAGGCTTTGTGTTGTGTATGTGAATGACAGTCAGTGTTCTCCATTCTCCAGTCTGTAGGTTCAAAGACTTGTCCTGACATCAAGGGGAGTGCAATACTTACATATTTTGATTTACATTTTTTTCTTAAGACATTTAGGAATCGGGTAGCTGATAAAGATGCAGGTCTGCAGATCAAAAAGACCCCAATGCGATCTAAACACAAAAACAAAAATGATATATATTGCAGATTACTATTCCTTATGTGGTGGCTACATTAGCTTTCATTTCTAGGCTTTTTTTTTTATTTTTATGTGGTATTCCATCCAGTAACACACTTCCTGTTCTAGAGTGATAGCACTGCCCTTATGGAAGAAAAATATATATTTGAAATATATTGTAAAAATATTCTTCCCAAATATATTGACATATATTTGAAGTGCTACAATTTTGGCCACATTCAATATATTTCAAAATATATTTCAATAAATATATATTTTATATATATATATATATATATATATATATATATATATATATATTATTTATATATATATATATATATATATATACACACTGCATGTTGAAATGCATTTTTATTACAAAATACATGAAAAATATTTTTAAACATACATTTCAAATATACCGTATGTCTTTAAAAAAACAAATTTGCATTTACAAATATATGTAAAAATATATGTTAAAATTACTTTTTTATATGTTAAAAAAAAATCTGAAGAGTATATTTAAAAAAATATGTTTTTAAAAATATTTTTAATATATTTTGTAATATATAAAAAACACATTTCATCATGCAGTATATATATATATATATATATATATATATATATGTCAATATATTTGGGAAGAATATTTTTTAAATATATTTCAAATATATTTTTCTTCCATGTGGGTGTATTGTATGGTGGAGCAGTGTTGTCACCTTAGGATGCTCTCTTAATTTGGGCTACAAACACCTCCCCCTCTCCTCATCTGCATTACATAGAGGGATGTGGAAGATAGTGTAGAACAGAACTCACCCTTTTTACCCCAGAGGAGCCTAAAATAATTTTCAAGTCTTGAGGAACCTTTACTAAAACCAATTAATCAGGGGTCAATGGGAAAAATGCATTTAACATTGGTAGCCAGTAACAAGTAGAATGAAACCCTTGCAGCGGTGGTTCAAATGCCACCCCTACAGACAGCTAAAAAATAATTATTAGTGTCATTCTGCTTGCTTTGACAAGTGGCAATGGCATCTGAACTATGCAGATAATTAAATGGGAGGCCAATCAGCCACAACTCGAGGAACCCCTAGCAACCTCTGTAGGAACCTGGTGGTTCTATGGAACCCTTGTTGAGAATAGCTGGTAGAGTACCCCCCTGACTCCCCAAAGGCAGGATGGTACCTCCTGAGGCAGGGGCGGGCTAGCATGTCACCCCCAGGGCTAAAATGGGAGACTGAGACAGAACATTCAGCGCCAGTAATCTTTTTAGTTTTATTGCAGAGGAGGTTAAGAAGGTGAAGGAGATGAGAGTTGGGGTCCCAGAAACCAGGCAGATCACTCACAGACTCTCCAGATCAATGTCTAGCTACACAATGACAGAATCTTTAAGCCAATCTGGCAACATTGTAAGCAAGTTCCCAAATTTCACTGAGTCCATCAAGTGAGTCACCAGGTCCTTCTGAAAAACCAGCCTTCTCCCTGGTTCTCTCCAGCAAGGGGCTTCCCCTGGATCTTCTCCTTGGCACACCAGGCAGGACAGCTTCAGGACCACCTCAACATACATTAGGCCCCAAACAGGCCATTGGGCCTAACAGTAGAGCTCCAACCAGCAGCTACTCCCTAGGCCTTAGGCCAGGGAAAGAGAGAGAGAGCCCATGGCCTGTGCTAACTGTTTATATCCTCACCCAGCATCCACCAGTGACCGTAACTTCCGACTAGATTGGATGAAGGAAATATAAAAACTCATAACTCTTGTTTATGTCTCATATTGACCAGTGGCACCAGTGATACCTACTGGCGACAGTGAGAAATCACAAACCAACTGAAGCTTAGGGAAAAACCATGTGAAGAACTACAAAATATGTCTGGGCTGACTTAGGCTATGAAGCCGCTGTGGAGGACATGCAGGCTACACTGGCATAGTATTGTCAGGGCTGGGCTTCTGCTACTTAATGAGCAACTCTTTTCTTCCTGTGCTCAGAAGCTGCTCAGCTGTCGGTTAATTATCAGCCACGCATTGTCTCCATAGTCACCTGAATACCATTACCTGCCTCATTAGTCCAGCCCGCTGTCACCGCTACTACACTGATCTTCACTCCTGTTCTCCTTGCTGCATTATGAACACATGAACACAGGAGGTGAGCCTATGAGCACAGGCGCCATGCTGAGAACACTTTGTATTTTCTCAATGAATACAAAACATTCTCCAATTGAGCGAAGTGGAGGTGGAGGGG